GGTCTCAGTCATTTAAGGTTAATTTTGTCACAGCTCTTATGTTGCCAAATTGCAAGGACATGATCACAATACCATCTGACGTGTTACTGGGCATGAACTGGACAGTGTTTCCAAGAAAGGTATTTAATGGTTCCAATATCCTGAGCTGCAAAATAGCACGCACAAACCTCGCTGTCCAAGAAGTAACACTGTTCCACTCACTGACAGACCCAAAGTATCACAAGAAATCCAAGTCATCAACCAGCTTCTTCATTTCAGATGCATTTCTGCTGATGAAGTTCCTTGTATCTTGGGAGATCTTTTCCAACCCAGCTTTTGCGAGGGCTTCCATATATTCTTCGTTATTCTGAAATAGATCAATGCTTTTACTTGCACCAAGACGCAGCTTGGAGTGATAAACAAATACATCTCAATTACAGATACACAAGTCCCAGATGTATTGTTAGAATCCTATTCTACAGCAGAATATTCAAATGAAAATGTTATTTTAAGCTAAAGAAACAGCAGTCATATTTAAGTTTAAAAAACAGCAGGGAGGGAGAGAAGGGAAGGTAGAGTAAGAGCATTTTAAAAAACCCACTAAGTAGGCACAATTGAGGACATTCCAAACAGTTAAATAACCATTTGAGTTAAGAATCAGTGCTGAGGTTTCTTTTTGCTTAGAGTCACATTATAATACACTTGTAATAAACTCCCATTCCTTATATTCTAGTAATGGCAAGTTAATACGGCTCTATTGCAAAGCACAGCTGTTAAATGCAAATGCACAATAAAAAGAACAAACCGATTTCATATGATAACCAGCCAGAATGTCCAACTATTCAGAAGTTCCTTGCTCAAAGGCAACTTATGGCTGATACTGAAATTTAATATTTCCTTCACAACGTATCGTGCATTTTAGTACTAGAAAAGCATAGCCTGATATCACCAATTTATATAATGGACTTCATAATGCAGAACATGCATACTGCTTAAAAATAGAAGCTACTGAAGCTTGACCAATTAGCACCCTCATGCAGAAGAAACTGCTCTTCTGGAAACTTGGTATTCTTGTGATTCTGCCCTTGACTGCAAGGGGAAAGAAAAGTCAACATGTCTTTTTAGCAATATTCTTACCTTTGGCCTGAAACCTCTGCCATATTCATAGATTTCAGTTCCAGGAAATACTGGACCTTTGCAGAAGAGCTCTTCCAAATCACTGGCAATTTTGTGCAACATTTCTTCTTCATAGGCAAATACTGAACCATCCTTTCCAGTGAGGATGACAAGCTGAAGTCCTGGTGCCAGGCATGGATAACTTTCAATCATGCCCAAGACCACCATATCCATTCTCTGCGGCAAATAGAGATCTTGCCAACACCTAAGCAGGTCAGGCCTTCCCCAATAAACAGTATCATCCAGGCCCCCAATTATTAGTGGAATGTCCATTGGCAATTTCACAGTTCTTCCTCTATGAAGATTCACTTTGTCTGTTACCAGTTGCAAATATTTTCCACCTAAAAATGAGAAGTTTATGAAATCCATTGCTTACTCAATATGGTACAGGGCAAGCAATTTAGAAATATTTCCGGTTTAGTGAAATCGAGCTATCCAAATTTAGGTAGGGCAGCCACAGAACAAACCACAGCTGGTTGAAGAGGAGTAAAAGAACCATATAGACAGCAGGCTTCATCCAAAACCATTTAAAATGGATAATTAAAAACTCCTGAATGAACTACAAAGCAGTCATTTTGCAAAGAGCCTGATGACAGCAGTAGATTTAACAGCCAGCACAACATTAAGTGAACAAGGAAGGACATGCAAAAGCTGCACTAAGAATGAATAAAGTACACTAGGTGGATGGGAGAGAAACATGACTTAGCAAACCAGCCAGATGTGTCAAGTTAAATCTAAACTCCCATGAAAAACAGGGATGTGAACTGACTCACTACTTATCAGTCAGACACAGACTGCACTGGAACATGAACAGGGACAAGGAGGTGTAAGATATGATGATAGAATATTGAAAAACGCTTAAATTACATCCTTTTACAATACTCCAGTGCTTCAGGGTTAAAGTTACACAAACAATATAGCTTCCTCAAATTACACTGCCTAAAAACTTAGCTCAACTTTAATACTGTATCAAGGTATCTACGTGACTGGCTCATCTCAGTGCCTGAATTTAAAACCAAACGCAATTTTTAACCACAAAACATTTAAAAAAAGACAAAGTCAACCCCACTTTAATAACATTCACAACTATACAGGGGAAGTACTTTACCTGGTAAAAGCCAAAGTAACTGCAGATGCTGTAAATCAGGAACAAAAACAGAGGTTGCTGGAAAAGCTCAGCCGGTCTGGCAGCATCTGAAGAAAAGTCAGAGTTAATGTCTCAGCTCCAGTTATCCTTCCTCAGAACCAGGCCCGAAACATTAACTGATTTTTCTTTACAGATGCTGCCAGACCGGCTGAGCTTTTCCAGCAACTTCTGTTTTCCTTCCTGAAGGATCTTACCTGGTTTCAGTCCGCGGAAGTCTTCACAACATTCATCTGCTCCCAGCTCTGTGACATTTCCAGTATCAGTGAACCTAATAAAAAAACATCCAAGTCAAATAAATTTACATATGGAACACTGATCTTAACGAAACACTACTGTAGGAGTCAAATGTTTGAGTTTATATACTCAATACTGATCCAATGCAATCATGATCAAAGTAATTGAGATTCTGAATAGTGAGCAAACACTGTGCACAACAGCCTCATTGGAGATGGGTCAGCGTAGGGATATCATAGCCATTACAGAAGCACGGCTCAGGGAGGGACAGGATTGGCAGCTTAATGTTCCTGGGATATCGATACTATAGGAAGCTAGAAAGGGAGGCAGAAGAGGAGAGGGAGCGTCGTTTCTGGCTAGGGATAAATTAGTTGTACTTCGGGAGAACATTCCTGGGAGATCATCCAATGAGGTTTGTGGATAGAACTGAGAAATAAGAAAAAGGATGACTGTGTACTATAGGTGCCCAAACATCATAATCTGATTGGTCAGCAGGAGACAGTCAACACTGGTTTGTGCACAGGAAAATAGTGGCTGACTAACTTGGAAGTATTTTTTTGAAGAGGTGACAAAGAAGATTGATGAATGCAGAGCACTAAACATTGTGAAATATCTTACTGAAGTACATGTAGACAAAGTTCTGTATGGTGTACTGGTTAGTGAGGTTAGATCACAAGTGATCCAGGGAGAGCTAGCCAACTGGGTACAAAATATTCTTGAAGGTAGGAGTCACAGGGTGGTAGATGTTTGTTTTTCTGACTGGAGGTCTGTGATCAGCAGTATGCTGGATCCACTGCTTGTCATTTATACAAGTGATTTGGATGTGAATAGAGGTGGCTCGGTTAATAAGTTTGCAAAGGATACTAAAGTGGTGTAGTGAAGAGTGAAGATCTTTATGTCTGAGTGTACAATGGAACCCTGATCAAATACGCCAATAGGCCAAGGAGTGGCAGATGGAGTTTAATTTAGATGAATGTGATCTTAGATAAAACTGAAGTAGACAAAGGGTCTATTTTGATGCTGCATGATTCTAAATCTATGGCTACATTTCCTGTGTTAACAGCAAGGCAACTGAAAAAAAAACAAGCACAACCAAATCTGTCACTTTTGCCAGACAAAGGCCTGGGTTCAGCTGCACAGTCATGAATCACCCACTCACTGAAAGATAGCAAGACAAATGCTTTTATTGATGGCCCAATGGACAAAAAATATCCTTTTGCATATTGATGTGACATATCATTTCATTTGAATTTCAAAAACAGAACACTTACCATTTTGGTTTTTCAGAAAGAGTCCAATAAGCTGGCTTCACAGCAGCACTCATTTCGAGTCACTTGAACTGAAGAAAATTCCAAAGAGAAATCATAAATTTAGTATGTTTCCATGTGCAAGAGCACCAAAAACAATGCCAAAAGTTAATTTCCTTAAAGATAGGGAGAAATTTAAACATTACTGGGAAATAATCCAAAGCAAAGAATGGTTGCCAGCAGAAATGGTGGGTGGAGGGGTCCTAAAAGGTGAAGGTCAAATTGAAGCAATTTAAAAGAGTACAGGTACTAAACTAATGGATAAATAGGTTATATCATTTGTTAAATAATAATTAATCAGTTTATGCACAAAATTTCAGTCCACCTTGGGAAAAAGTCTTTTCAAACTATTCCTGCATACTTTAGCCTGGATTTATCAGTGTTAGTTTGGAACACTCCAATGAATACCCCACCATAACAGGCAATAGCGCCAAATACCTTTTTAAATTTAGGTTTTACCCCAATTACAGTACTGGCACCCAATTAATGCAATGATTATGGAGGACAAATATTAAAAAGGTACTTCAAGGCCACAATAGGAACAGGAGTAGGTTGATGGGCCCCCTCAAGCCAGCTCCATCATTTAATTGGATCCAACACCCCTCATATCCATGCCCTTTCCCCATAACTCTCAATTCCCCTATGGCTCAAGGATTGCAGTCTTAAAATATACACAAGGACACTGTCCCCACGCCCTTTGGCAGAGTTCCAACCCTCAAGAAATTCTTCCGCATTTCAGTCTTAAGTCAGCATGCAGTTTTACATTTTAAGTAGTTTCTATTTTCGATTTTAGGAGACATGACCCGAAACAGGGAAGTGCTTTTCCATCTCCCTGCTCTGCCCAACTCACTTGCAAACAAAAAATTAAGTACGAAACAGGGAGCTTTGATGGCCATTATTTTAAAAGGCTCATAAAATTGATGGTTTGAAAGCAAACTAAGTTTTCTTCACAGAAAACCATGCTTTCTAGGCCAAAAGATCAATTATCTCCGTCCCTGGAGGTGAAGGTATTGTTCATAGGAGAGGTTGGAAATAAAAAGTGTTCCAGCAAACAAAATTCAACTCGACACCATCCCCACCAAGTCAGTGACAAGAAATCCAGAAGCAGGTGCCCTAGCAATCCTCAAAAGAACTCTTTGGTATTGAGATTCCTTTAGAATTCCAAAGGACTTGAATTTACATTTTATTCAATGCAGATGAACGCAAGTTAACCGTTTCCTTAACTTCTCACTAATAGTTATTCACACGCGATGCAACCATGATATTATTCAAACCAATTTCAGAATTTCTGAAGTTTCAACAACATTACTCAAAATGAAAGACAGCTTTATGTAGTCATACATTTCCCACTTGTAGCACTTAACTGGGACAATACAGCACCCTGTATTCTTCAGCACAGAATGGTTGTCTGATTTTTCATGCTGACCAACCGGAACAATTTAGATTCCCTGAACTCTGTCAGCACAAATGCTGTGTCTCAAAAAAAAAAAAAGCACAACCTCCCAATAGGCTTATGTCCTCACAGTGAAGTTCCCATTAAAAATGAGAGCTGAAAAGAAATCCTATTTTTCATCCCCACACCTTGGATCAGGTGCTTTCAGCTTCATTCTTATTTAGATTATGCCTTTTCATTAATAGATTGAACCCCTCAGCATTTAAGAACTCCAGCAACTTCTGATTTAAATTCATCTCATTTGCCATGCCTCTGACTTGAGCCCTCTTACTGCAAACACAAGCTTAATATCTTAACACGGGTTCTTGTGGTGCAGTGGTAGCACCCTTAACGGAGCCAGGAAAGCTGGGTTCAAGTCTTACATATTCAAGGAGGTCTTCATTTTAAAAAAATAAGTGTCTGAACAGATGAATTAGAAAATGTAAACCCTTTCCTACTAAGCACAAATCAGGGTCAAGTTGAGAAACAGATTCCAGAGTGAGGGGGCATTGCTGAAGAGAAATTAGCACAGTTAAAAACTTGAAACAAACACTGAAAGCAGACCTTGGAATTTATGGTTAAGACTGCAATGTAAGCAGTGGCAAGAAAGATCAACATAACCCCTTCGATTTTTGATACGCAAAAGAAAACCAATGACTAAATGGTTGGTGGCATTTGCCCAACAAGACAATTCAGCAAAGCTAGTGTGAAATGCTGGGCTTGTACTTCAAGTTATAAAAACAACAATGCCTTTGTGTAACAGAACATGACTCACTTCACAAGCAAACTCTCAAAAACCATAAAGTCAAAGGAAAGAAACTGACTAGGGAGCAAAGGGTATTTTACTAAAAAAGGCAATGGAGTTTGATCAAGAGAATGTATTTTACTCCAGCCAATTCCAGTGGCTAGTGAAAAAGGGGGCAAGAAACAAAAACTAATCAACCAACGGTTATCAAAACTATTTGCATCACAAATGGCTCTTTTCTGGGAGGGGGGAAATCTTAAACAGTCATAAGATATTACTTTATTTAAAATAGTAGATCTTAACTGCCACAGTCCAAGTTAAACAAACAATTCTAACAGACTCAAAAATCAATTGGTAAAAACAGAAAGCAAACAAAAAAAAAGTGAAGATCAACTAAAGGCAGCTTCCAGGATCCAATAATAAGGGAAATTTCCTTTTAGTTGTCGTCAACTATCAAATTGGATCAGTTACATTTTGCAAACTCAGTATATCATGCAGTATCCAGACCCTCATGCTGTACCCACAGGACTCACTCCCCGGGGGTAGTGTGGCAGCACCTTCCTGACCCACACTATGACTCTGAGCAGCTTCTCGGCTGTTGGCTCCCCCTCGGGTTGTGATCAAACTGCGCATGTGCGGCACACCCTCGTT